TAATAATAATAATAATAATAATAATAATAATAATAATAATAATAAAGCCGCTGTGATACAATTGTATAATAATAATAATAATCTGAAAATTTGCAAAACAAAGCTATGCATAGCCAATACTTGAAAAATATTGAAGGCAAAGCTGTCCAAAAGCTAACTTGGAACTGGAATTTTGAATGTTCAGTTGGCTGAGTTTCATGTTTAATGAATAAAGTATATAATAATAATAGTAATCATGTTTACTGAATTCTACTACTGATGTTACCAAGAATAGACATTTATTAATCCATTAATGGTGATAATCTGCTGCTGCCATCTCTTCCAGCCACCGAAGATCTGCTCTAGGGAAGGAGTAGTTAATATAAAGGGAAGACAATGAAGAAGAAAATTCAACCTAAAAATGAATGTTAAGATGAGAATGATATTTCAGACTGTGACCCCAGATCAATTCTAATTGACTCACTGAGTAACTACACTAAGGCAGGTTAAGTCAAGGAAGAATACTTTACATAACTACCATTCATTCAATTTGAATATAATGACAAAACTATATTCTTTATAGATCAGAAAATAAGACTGGTTTGAATGAATGGTGGGAATGGGTGTAGTTTAGGTTTTTTTAGGGGCTTTACTAAACTGGAGAATTTTACATGTTCCAAATTATCAAAAAGTTTAATATGCCCTCTAAATGCTATTTTCTAAATGAGAAAACCACAACCCTTTTGTCCATTGAGCCCAAGTGGGCCTTGATGTTTAGGGAATGGAGAAATGAGAAGCTTCCACACTTTCAGTGAAGTGTGTAGTGAATAGCAACCAATCTGCAAAACTAGATGTTTCACTGAAACAATTCACACTAATGAATTTTACAGCAGAAAATAACATACCTGCAGTGGTGTTGATGGTGTTTGTCCACCAGGATACCCAGCTTCAAAAGAAAAATATAACATAATGTTATATTAATTAATTAATATATAAACATAATATCTAAACATATAAATGCATAAATATGCATTTATGACAAAACATCAAGGCTCATAAAGGAGCCTGGGCGAGAAACCTGTACCTCTCTTTCAAAACCAATTTCCATTTGATGTTACAGCCTGGAGCTCTCTAATATTTTACCCGAGATAATTTTCAACAGTAACTGAAGCTATCTAATCACACTTGGGTTAAAAAAAATGGGAATAGAGTTGATCTAGTGCAGCAATGAATATACTATGGCTCAAGGGAATTACTATGATTCAAGGACATGGGTATATCTAGTTTAGTGAAAAGAAGGACTAGGGTTGACAGGATAGCAAAGCTGCCACAAAAAAGAGGAGTTCAAAGCACCAGAAGGCAGGACAAGAAACAATGGATAGAAACTAATCAAGGAGAGAAGCAACCTAGAACTAAGGAGAAAGTTACTCACAGTTAGAACAATTCATCAGTGGAATAACTTGCCTCCAGAAGTTGTAGGTGCTCCATCACTGGAGGTTTTGAAGAAGAGACTGGAAAGTCACCTGTCTAAAGTAGTATAGGGCAGCGATGGCAAACCTTTTTTGGCTCGCATGCCATAAGTGGGGGTAGCGCAGGGAGGGGTCATGCGCGCGTGTGCTGCACCCATAATGCAATGTGTGACCCTCCCAGTGCGCATGCATGCACTACAGGCGCAACACACACACCCCATTTTTTGCATGCTTTTTTCACCCTCCCCAGGCTCCAGAGACTTTATAGGAGCCTGGAGAGGG